ATGATCGAAATACGAGTATGTGAGATCCAAGTCCCTTCGAAGCAGGAAGGCTGTGCTGATTATTGATCACACCAGCCCTTCTAAATGTGTAGATGAGATCGATGAAAGCAGCTGGGACTTTCTGCGTGTGTACGGAAACATACATTCTTGTGCACAACATGAGATCCTCGTCTGTCTTTATGAAGCGAAGAAAATAAGACGAATTTGGGTGTGGGTGTTTTGCGATGTCCGATCTCTAGTGTGAACCGTGTGGCACAGGTGAAATTCACTTTGAGAGCCGAGGGAGGCACCCTCCGGGAGAAGAGTACTGAGGTGTGAACGGCCTGTGCATTTGCCGGCAGGAGAAGGGCCTCAGAAGATTGAGATGCGCTGGGCAGAGAACACAGAAAGCAAACAATAGTTTTAAATAATAGCTTCTAGCTGAACATCATGAGAGGAGCTGATCTTAATTGCAACCATTAATTATGCGGTGAGGTGCTTCCCACATGGCCGACTCTAGAGGGCTTGCTCTTCTGGGGGAGTGGCCTGGAAGTTCTGAAGGCTCATAATTCTCTCCAGTGACGCTGGGGAGGCTGGCACCTGTGCCTTTTGCCTACTCTCCATATGCTATTGCTTTTTCTGTGCATGATACGTATTATGTGTGCATCGGTGAGCATAGAGTACGCCTGTCTTTCTTTCACCACTAATAGCCATGCAGTGGACACTCCATCCCCGTGCAGATGTTGGCGCCTGGTATGTGCTGGGCACCACCAGCTGTGTAGGTAGACTAGAGCGCTGCAGAACTGTCGGCTGCAGGGAGTGAGAGCTTTGTGTTTGTATGGCCTGAGCCCGGGTTGGGGTTGGCATTTAGCAGATACCCAGGAAATACTCATTGGATGAATGACTAGCAGGTGAATAGATAATCCACACGGTGGTTCACAAACACTTTTGTTTGTGAACAATTTGGTTTGCAAACAGAAGTGTTCGGCACAACTTTGTTTTTGCTTGTGGACTCTGCATGGGGTAGCAAACACCTACCAGAGCCATCTTTTCTGATGGCTTTCCATGTGGCCATCTTTTCCAGAATCAGGAAACAAAGGCAGTTTGTGAAGGGAGGCACCACAGTACTAGCATCTGTATATTCTGTGTGGCTGTTACAGTGCATCTATATCACTGCCTCGCAGTTTGATACATAGCCTGTGCTAGCGATGTGTTTCTTCATGGGTTTCTGCTATAAATTCATCTAAATTCCCAAATCACTTTATATATTAATTTCTCTTCACCCTCTAAGCTTCTCCATGCCCAGGTCTCCGCTGCAACAAAGGAGACCAAGCTCACGCCTGGCCTCAAAACAGACCTGTCTGCAAAGGGCAGCCTGAGCCTGTCCTGAGCTTTAATAATCAGGTATAATCTGTGTTTCTTGTACTTCCTGTTCTCTGGGGGTGGAAGAAAGCCTGACTCCCAGGCCTACGAGAGGTGCTTCCTCTGGGCCCCTTTCCTTGTGTCCCCCCTTTCTGTGCCTTGAGGAGTCCCCGAGGCGGACCTTTGCCCCAGGGAGACAGCCCAGGGCCCTGCATTGGTTACTTGCTGTGACTTGCTCTCTGTAATCAGCAGGCTCCATTTTGATTCTCAAGTTGAAGCAGGAAAATGTGCTGATTGCTGATTTCACAGACGCTGAGTTTCCCAAGCCCTATCTCAGGGGTGTCCTGCCAAGCCCCAGGCCTGTCCCTGGCAGGCGGTTGATGGGATGTGGCTAGTGGGAGAGAGGGACAAGTCCTTGTCACCTGAGGCTTCCTTGTTCTCAGTGATCCTCCCTCTGTCCAGCCGACACCTCCTCTGTGCTGCTTTTGTTTTTGGTTCCTGTGTTTTCTCTGCAGTAAAGTGAAAGGGCTTTGGAGCCAGAATCCTGGATTCCCAGCTCCTTATTTGCTGTATGTCTTTGGGAAGTCTTCTCAGTGACTCAGGGGACAATACGGTCCTTTGGGAGGCCCCCATCTTCCTCTGAAAATTAAGTGATAGTCATTGTTGGTTGTCTTCGGACTCCATCAGGTTCATTTACTCCTCACAGCTGTCCTCTGAAGGAGGGGTGACTACTGCCCTCCTTTTATTGATGAGATAAAGAAAGATCAGACAGGCTGAGTAACTTGCTCAAAGTCACACAGCCATTGATCAGCAGAGTTTGGATTCAATCTCCTGCAGCCCAGCTCCAGAGCCTTCTTTCACTGTCGAGAGATCATGGATCTGACTCATTTCAAGTACGGATTTCCTCAGCCTGCCCTGGTCAAGTCCCAACCCAAGCCATCCACCCCTGCAACAGAGCACTTGTCTCTGTCCCTCTCACCCTCTCTCCTGGAGGCTCCCTCAGGTTGAGACTTAGACATGTGCTGCTTCTGTGTGACCCTGACTTAGACAAAGTTTACCCAAACAGAACATGGAGGGGACACCTGTGTCCTTTTCCTATGTATGTGACCCAAAGAGTTCTCCCTGTAAAACCCCAGGACCTAGATGCTTGTCCCAGCTCTGTTTCACTGGGCCTGGATGGGTCATTTTGCTACTCTGGTCCTCAGCGTCCTTGACTTTAAGACGGATAATCATTTAGCCAATGTTTCTGGCATTCACTGTTCTGAGCCCCTGCTTCCTGGGGCCCGGATATGTTGGCTTCTAATAGGACTTAAGGCCAAAGTCCACATGTCTCTTTGTGTCTTCCAAAGACACGGAGGCCGTGCTTCCTGGAGGAATGCAGCTGGCCCCTAGTGACACCACTGTCCTGGGCCCTAGGCCAGAGCTGAGCTCCATAAGCTTCTGAGATTTCACACCCAGCCATCTGCTTTCCTAGGTGTGCACTGAGCTGACACATGGGTGCTGCAGGGTACACCCCTCGCTGTCCCTGTGTGTCCTTTATTTCCTCTCGGTGACACTGCCCTGCAGCCTGGGCCCCTGCCTCAGGTCGCCTCTCACCTCTTCCGTGCTGGGATGGGGGTTTTACAGCTGGCAGCTTCAGTCGGTTTTCCTGCACCGCCGGCCCTGCTCACACGTCCCTCCACGCCACCCTCCTCACCAGCGTGGCCCGGCCCCTGGCCTTGCTCAGACTTTGCGCGCTGCCTTTCTCTCTCTCCCCCTTCAAAACTGGAAAAGACTCAGAATTGCTCAAAAGACACAGACTCATAAAAATGAGATTAGACAAGCTAATCCACCAAGTGAGACGGAACATGTTCCTGTAATGAGGATCAGCTGTGTCCTTGCTGACTAATTTGGGGAGTGCACACGTAACCCCAGGAATATCGCTGCAGTGAGAGCCAGGAAGATAAGGGTTCAGATCCCAGCTCTGCTTCCTACTTGTCCTGAGTGACTAGGCTGGCCTCAGTTTCCTCATCTAAAGAAGATTACAGAAAATTCCTCTCTGGGCCTGGGAGCTGCCTGTGCCCACATAGCTAGTGAATTCATTGGGGAGCTGGGAAGTGCACCTGGATCTGGTCCAAATTCCTATTTGCTCAGCCCCTCTCTCAACTCTAGCTATGTGTACATTCCTTTCAACACATTGCAAAATAAGCTTTGAGTAGCGAGAACACATTAAAGGAAAAACCCCACCCAGAACCCCACTCCCTGCAACCTGTGAATATTCTTAGCTCTCCAAATGTCTTTCCCACGTGCATGTGTTATTGGTGTAGATTTGGGGCAATCTTCCTCTGTTCTATGATTCACATTTTTGCACGGACGCCATCCAGGTTTCTAGTCCTTGTTTCCAATGTTAACATCTGCGTGACAGCGTCCAGTTGAACCGCTGTGATTCTGCTGCTAACCCCCCCGCAGTGGCTGGGTGAGGAGGTGGCTTTCAGCTGTCCGCGTCATCAGGAGCAGTGCCCAAGCATCCTGGGGTGCATGGCTTTGCTTTGTGTTTTGATTTATTCCCGCCATAGGATTAATTTCCAAAGGGTGGGCTTCTGAGTTTAGCCCAGGGTTTCGGGTTCGGTACTGTGGACACTAGGCCAGGTGACTCTGTGGTGCGCACCGGAGGGTACTGGGCAGCATCCCCGGCCACCGACGGGATGCCCATAGGCTCCTCCAAGTTGTGACAACCCAAACTGTCTTTGGACATTGCCGCATGTCCCTGAGGGCACGGAATCACCCTTCCTCGACAGTCACGGCATTAGAGGGTGGAGGTATGAAACATGGGTTGTAAGTGAGAATGAGAGATTTTCTAGAGTCAGGATACAGTCTGATTAGTACAGTACTAGGGAGTACTGAGCATGGGGCACGAGCACTGAGTGGAGAGCCAGAGGCCCTGAGCCCCACTCCAGCACTGCATGCGGTCTTCACTCCTCAAGGTCTCGGTTCCTCGCCTGTGGAAAGGGCACAGCAGTCACGATGGACCTGCCAGGCCCTGGAGGAGTGACATGACGAATGCTTGCCCAGCACTGGCCACAGGAAGTGCTCAGTGAGGGCCATTCAGGTTTGCTTCTCTGCAGGAAGCACTGTTGGCTTTTCCATCTTTGTCACTGCTGTCTTTGGGGACAAAAAAAAAAAAAAGTGGCAGAGTCTGGGGGGTAGAGGTAAAAGGGAACTGTCCTGTTCTGTGGTCCTCACAGCCTCCTGCACCACATGCATCCTTAGGACTCAGCTTCCCAAGGCAGACTCTGGGGCCTTTCCTGGCTGGAAAGTTCACTCATCCGTCGGGAATGGGCTGGGTACTGCCTTGTGCGCAGCTGGCCCGGGTGTGATGCAAAGTCAGAGCTCAGCTCTGGGCTCAGGCGTACAGGGGGCAGCACCCTCACCTGGATGAGGGAGCTGTGCCTGTCTGGACTGTGCCAAGGAGCCTGCAGAGCCCTTCCCTCCTCTGCATAATGGGAAGCATCTGTCTGAGGCTCCTGTGAGCCCATCTGCAGTGAGAGCCAGGAATACTTGTCCCATAACGAGTGCCCAGTGGACACCAGGCTCAGCCCAGCGCATCTCCTCCCCCGGCAGTCATGAGTGGGTGCGAATCTCTGCCAAGGCCAATATGGGCTTGTGGTCTGTGTCTCCAGGAGAAGTATGTAGAAGAGCTCGGTGTGGTGAGGCAGACGCTGCAGACAGACCTGGAGACATCCATCCGGCGCATTGCTGACCTGCAGGCTGCCTTGGAGGAGGTGGTGTCCAGCGACAGTGATCCAGAGAGGTAACGTGCAAGCGACTAGGTGGGGCTGGACCCTGGAGGGTGCCACAATGTGGGCGTCAGTGGGCCCAAGGGCTTGTGTGCAGGGAAACCTGAAGGTGTCTGGGAGGTGGCGGTAAAAGGGGACCCCTTGGGTGGGTGGAGAGACTGCTACCCTGTGGGAATTGATGTCTTCTTGTTACTGCTGGGACCAGCTGGCCTTGCTCACCAAGTCTCAGGTGAAGCACCACGGCTGGAAAGTGAACTCCAGCATGTACAGCTAGGAAAGCTGTGTGTCCAGTCAGGCTCCAACTGTCTCGCTTATAAAGTGGGAAAAATAGTATTGGGATGAACCCCATGAAATTACCAAGATGAGACCATTTTGACCTGCAGACCAGAGGTCTCATCTGCCTGCGCATAGACTCACTAGAGTTCATGAACAACATCACTGAGAGTAATGCTGGGCTCTGTAAGTATAAAGCTACCTTTGTGCAAAATGATGAGTGCTGTTTTATGAAGACAGTGGGTGATCCAGAGATGCCAGTCAATTCAAAGGGCTGGGGGAACAAGACTATCCAAGCTCAAATGCTAGGGTTTCTCCTGTCTATCTCAAATGATAAGCCACTTCCTATCTTTCTTCCATCTTAAATTTCTACAGGTCACAGAATACAGAAGCCTGCTCAGCTAGAAGGAGCTTAAAGTGTCCCAGCTGGACACAGGGACCCAGGCTGTTCTGTCCCCCCACATAGCCAGAGCACCCTCTTCCCAGTAGCTGCCCTTAGAATCTCACCTTGTCGCTTCTTCTAGAACCACAGCTGCCAATCTTGCTGAAATTCTGTCCCAGACTACACAACACAGCCTGGGCAGTGGGGAAAGGCGTTTCCTTTGCATAGCTTTGCAGCAGGGAATCTGCAGATGCAGTTCCCCCCCCCCCAATACCTGCAGAGCCCTGCTAGTACCTCAGCAGCCTGCACTGGGAACCAGTGCTGTTTGATCTTCCTCTCTGGGAAGGCTGGTTTGTGCTTCAATCTGAACAAGCAAATCTCTGACACTGAAGTACTTGCATCTCTCTGTTGCTGGGAGGACCTTGGCCTTAGAGAAGTTCACATGCAGCAGATTAGCATAGTATATGGTGTTAGCTTTTTTTTTTTCCAGATCTTTACTATCCATACCTTTTTAAACAGAGATTCTCTCTCCCTTCAGAGAGAGGGAGATGGCTGCTGTCTACTAGAGGTGCAGGTGTGAGACAGGCCAGGAAAGCAGAGCGGGGCACTATTTGGCTCTGGTTTAGCCACTGGGAAGAAGGAGACATTTGTGTTAATGAGATGAGCATGCATAGTTAGGATAAAAGGCTATACATGGACAACCAGCATTGTACCACTGAGGGAAGACATCATTGGTGATTTTTTTCTTTGAGTATATTTTCAAAAATCTGTGCAGTGAGTGTGTGTGTGTGTGTGTGTGTGTGTGTGTGTGTGTATATATATATA